TGTGTGCGCATTAGTGTATCCATAGGCACATGCATGTGTGCGCATTAGTGTATCCATAGGCACATGCATGTGTGCGCATTAGTGTATCCATAGGCACATGCATGTGTGCGCATTAGTGTATCCATAGGCACATGCATGGGTGCGCATTAGTGTATCCGTAGCCACATGCATGTGTGCGCATTAGTGTATCCGTAGGCACATGCATGTGTGTGCATTAGTGTATCTAAGTGCACGCGTATATCTATTATGTGTAGATACGTGTGCAGGTGTATGTGTGTGGCGTGCACATGCGGACAGCCACCTTGAGATGCGTGGCCCTCTTGAAAGCCTTGTTGCACACGCGGCACACGTGGCAGCGATCCTTGCCGTGAGCCTGCCTGCAGTGCCGCCGCAGCATGACGGCGCTCAAGAACACCTGGCTGCAGTAGAAACACGGCTGCAGGCCTTGCGACGCCTCCCCGGCGTGCTCCTTGGCTGCAGGCCGGCTCGCCTCGGGGATCTGCGGATGCGCGGCACGCATTTAGCCACGGGGCTGGGGGAATGACCGTAGTCCTTACCCTGAAGCCGACCGTGCCTGGCGCCGGGTGGCTCACCAGTATGACTTGATGGGTGGAGTTAGTGGGTTGCCCCGAGAGACCAGCGTCACTCAGAATGGCAGGGAACTGCTGCTCCTATGGAGATGGGGGATACGCGTCACTGGTGGGCACACAGAGCTCTCGAGTTCATACCCCAGCTTTCAGTGAGAAGTCACAGATTGCCCTTACCAGTCTGCAAACATAAAAAATCCCTGCTTGTTCTCAAGAATGAACTGAAGCCTTTTGAGTGTGAGAGAGCAGGCAGGGGGGGGCTCCTGACTCCAGAGAGACATGGTGGGAGCTGAAGCCCTCTCCCCCTTATACTCTAATCCTGTTAGGGGTGACCCCCCCTCCCACAGACCTGTGAGGCGATGTTGAGCGTGACGGCATCCAGGCCTCCTGACAGCATGCCCTGCGTGTCTGCCAGGGTAAAGGTCACGCTTCCGTCGCTCGCCACCCCCGACGACGACATCACCAGGCCCTGGGTGGACGCAGGCGTCTGCGACAGGGAGGTGCTGGGGGGCAGGCTGCTCTCTGAGAGGGGCGGGAGCGAGCAGAGGCGTTTCACTCAGCAGGGTCAGAAACATCACATGGTCACAGGCCTGTGTTTCCAGCGGGCAAGACGGCACCATTTTGGGCTCTGACCAGAAACCCACCTGGTTTAATGGAGCAGTGTGACACTGTGATTGGTTCTTTATAAACGTTTTTGCTTTTTTCACCTGTGATCCCGGTGCCTGCCGGGCTCTGAGGTAGAAGCTGCTCATTCCCTATGGCCAGAGTGGCGCCGGTGGCCTGGGCGTTCATAGAGGGTGTGAGCCTAATCCCGCCATTCAGCTCCGGGCCCCCAGCTGCACTGTGCTGTGGCATGAGGTCCTGACCTTTAAAACAGAAGGAGCAGCAGTGAAATTCTGCCCATAAAGCATCATTCAGTAAATCACTACTTAAGTTTGACAGAACTGCAAGCCATAAAAGCAGCGGTGTAAAAACAGTGAAATCGATTCCCATACAGTTGAGAAAAAAGCCAAATCGCAAAAGCTATATTGCTGAAATTGCCTCTAAAATACTCACCAATGGTGCAATCATGAAGCAAAATGTGTTTAAGCCTGTCAATGTCACAATGCCCTGTGGACGGGCGGACATGTTTGTTTCCAATGCACGGATAAGAGGAGCGGGAGATTATGGCGGGGAAAACTAATTAGCAGAGAGCCAATCAGACCCCTGCCAACAGTGTGGGAGAGGAGGCCAGATGGGGATGTTTGAACGTGAGAGCAAATTAGCCTGCTTACCCGATATGGTGAGGGTGATCTCCTGGGGGTCGCCCGAGGTCTGGGCGGGGCCCGCGGCCGAGGTCTGGGCCAGTACCTGACTCAGACTGGAGTTGTTGATCGTCAGAGTAATCTCCTGTCCGCCACCGCTGGCTGCCACCAGACCTGATGAGGTCATGACCTGTGACAGGTCGTGGGAGCCTGCAGGATTACATCGGCCACGTTAGCATGGCTACCATCAGAAGCTGAACTGTGATTTTAACATAGACATTACAGGTAGATGTAACCTGACTACTGCGGTAAATAGAATACAGTAACATAGGATGACTGGCTTAATCTTGGGGGGGGGGGGAAATTGTTGGATGAATATTTATAAAAAAAAAAAAAAACACAGAAAGTAGTAATATAAACAACATCAGGGACAAAGGGACTGTTGCCTTAAAAGAGGCCTGTCAGACAACTATGCTGGCTGGCTGAGAAATGAGGCTCCGCCCCATGCTGCCTTCAACCAATAAAATTAATCTTCCAGCAAGCTGCAGCTTCTTAACTGGACAAAGTATAAATGAGGCGGGGCCTTATTAAACAGACCTGTGTTCAGCACAGTCTGCAAAGCTCAATTTAGATTCCAAATGGGGGACCCACCACTGCCAGTGGCGGTGAGCACTGCGTCCTGCTCGGCCAGCCCCGCCATGCCCATGCCACCGGCTGCTGCCGACGGCTGCAGGGACAGGCTGGTCAGCGGATGGATCACCACGTTGGCGGGCACGGCGGAGTCGCCCGCCATGAGGTGAGCGCCGGAGATCTGGGCGATCCCCGCGTCGCCGGTCAGCTGGTGGGAGAGCGTCTGCTGCAGGATGCTGGAGTCAATCTGGATCCGGCGACAAACGCAGTGTTACCATGGCACGCCAACACCTGACATGACGTTCCACAGAGATGCTAACAGAGAGATCAGGGAGCGGGATCTGAGTAGTTATTTTTTTTCATCATCCATCATCAGAGGTTGAGAACACGGTTTATACTCCATCCCCTGAACATCAGAACAGCCTCCTGCTAATAGGCATGGTGATCTGGAGTCACCAGTAGGTCAAGCAAGATGATCACCTGCAGCGTGATGTTGTTGATGTTGCTGGTGTCGATGCCAGAGATCTGAACGTTGGGGCACACCAGATTGGTGGTGCTGAGCTGCAGGTGGATGCCCTCCAGTGTGGTCAGGCCGTCAGTCAGGGACACCGTCAGGTCACCGCCTATGTGTGGTCAACCAGCTGGAGCTCAGTAAGGGACTCGGAGAAGAAATGGCCGCTATCAAAACTGAATTACACTGATGAAATTCATAGGTAGTCAGCTATATTGCAATATATTGACTGAAATGTTCACTGCATGTGTTTGAATAAAGGACTCAGAAACCCTTTTTTACACGATCATTTCTCCAGGTTCATGTTACTGAAAAGTAATTCAATGAATAATAGCTAATTCCATCTGTAAGACAACGCAATATTCCCCATAACGAAAACCATCTTCGCTTTCCTCAGCTTAAGACGCCCCCTCAGCCCTTAAAGAACTTTTCCAAATCCACTCCCCCCATTTCAGATAATACAGAAAAAAACACAATGAAAGCAATTCTTCACAAATGCCAAAAAGTGCCATCCTAGGAGCCGATATGGGGCTCATCCGGCACGGCGGATAGGGCCGAGATGCCGGGGCGTGAATGATCACGGCTCCAGTGTTCCTGCACGCTAAACAAACAACAGGAGACGGGCATAAATCTCTGGCTGGCGTCGGCCATCCCTCATCCAAGCAGGCAGGACTTATGAGGCAAACAGCTACAGCAAACACATAGGAAGGCATTTGTCAAGCAGCCTCCACCATGCCGATAAATCAGATCAAATCTTAATTTCTAGATTTTCACTTTACTTTCCGGATGTGGAATTAAATCAGGGGCAAGGAGGTTACCTCAGTGATCTTGCAAAGAGCATTAAAGTTGGACCGCAATATTTAACAGTTTTTGGTCTCCAGAACACAGGATTTTGGGACCCGGTGAAGAACATGCTACATGGATAAGACAGGGGTTTTCCATGGAGACTCACTGGACAGGGAGGCTGGCAGGATGGCCTGGCCCACGACACCTGGCTGAAGCAGGTTCTGCTCAAACGGGTTGCTCATCACGGGGTTGCCAGAGATGTAGACGGGATCCACCTCGGTGGCATCAGCAGGGCCGCTCTGCAGCATGCCCACAGAGGGCAGGGCCTCTGCCCGGGTCTGCCGATCGCCAGGCTTCTTGCTCCGCTTGGCCTCCAAATTGGACTTGTAGTGGCTCTGGATGTGCGTCTTGCGGTGGCCTGAGGTCCGGAAACGCAGCTCGCAGATGGGGCACTTGAAGGGCTTTGAGCCCGTGTGCAGCCGCATGTGAACCTTCAGGCTGCCCTTGGTGGAGAAGGAGGTGTTGCACATGTGGCAGCTGAACAGCTTCTGGCCTGCAGGGGGCAGCAGAGGACCTGACTGGTCAATGCCTTAGGGCTGTTGGCAAGGCAACGTGCTTGTGGTACTAGCTTGGTATGCAGATACACTGACAACATTTGCACCAGCCTATGGATCTGAGAGAACATGGCACATTTCAGTGTTCGTTGCGGCCAATTACTGAAAGACATTATCAAATAAATCCCAAAAAGTGAGGGCTTATATCTGATAATGCGTCATTTACATAATCTCAAAAACGTACAGGATGGAAAGCTCTGCAAGGACGTGGAAGTCACCAAACAGAACTCAATTCCACGGAATGTTTATCTGACACCCTATGCACGTTCAAAGTCATTCACTTTTTAAAAAAATCACTTCAACAAACCGAGCATCTGTCACACGTCAAACTGCGCAGCCCCGACTGCAAGCGAGCAGGCAGTGGCATGTCAGCCTACCTGAGTGCGTCTTGATGTGGCAGTCCAGCGTGGACTTCACCGTGAAGCTCTTTCCACACGCATCGCACTTGTAGGGCCTCTCTCCCGTGTGGATCCGTATGTGTCTGCCGGAGAACCGGGGACAAAGAGGCCCATTAACCACCTGAAGGGGCTCAATTCAATCAAAAGACAACCATTTGTATGGGGGGGGGGGGGGTTCATAAATGCTGAGCAGATGTTGTACCAGCATAGATTTGCAGGGATGCCCCAGACATCCCTATGCACTCAGCAGCCAATTTCTCATTCAACAAGATGAAAGACACCGTTTAATTCAGTAAATTAACGGAAAAGTTACGCGCAAAACCATTTTCACTAATACTGTACAGTACTGTGACAGGGGACAAAAGAAACAAAACACTTCTTCAGGTAATTAAAAAATCTGAAATCATTAGTGACACTTGTTAGAGGGTGAAAAGGTTGCTTATTATGTAGAATAATAAGTATTTAATGACTATCCTGAAATATTTTGCCTGGTAGAATTATATTTACATCTACAGACTTAGAAGATCAGAGGATCGCAGTAAAGGAACAATGAAGCGCTATTATTTACTGCCAATTTAAGGACTTCTGTTCTTTTTTCAATAAATGGTTATGCAAACAGCATGATCATGAGCTTCAGACCTTGGCCTGGAGGAGACACTCAAACCGAGGACATAAAGCGCAGGGTGACTGGGCTCCTTCGCCCCCGGGGGCGACGGGGTCCCTCCTCACCGCACGAGGTCGCTGGGCTTCCTGAAGCTCTTAGGGCAGAAGTTGCAGCGGTTGGCAAACTTGGGCTCGCTCTCCAGCTCGACGCTCTTGTCCTTCATCTCGCTGACGCGGTCTCGCTCGGCTGCCGACTGCACCAGCACCTTCTCGGACACGGACGCGTCCTCGCTGGGCTCGTTGCGGGCCAGCTCCGCCGCCTGCTCCTCCGTGAAGGTGATGATGTCGGTACGGTTGCGCTTGTGCGGTGGCGCCTCTCCGCCGTCCTCTTCCTCACCGTTCTCGTCTAGCGCTGCGTGGGAAAGGCGAGTGAGTAACTAGTGTTGTAGTCAAGACCGCCTAAACCGAGACCAAGACA